CTCATGTGGACGATCTTGGCGAGGCGCTGTATATGTCCTTGATCTGGAGTGGTGGGTGAGGAGCAGTGTTGTCGACCCCCAGGCCCGGGGCCCAGGTGGGGGTCCCGGGGGTCAGGTGTCGGCACCCCCGGCCCCGGAAAAAAACCCCAAAAAAAAAAAAAACAAAAAAAAAAAAAACAAATACCAGGGGGTTCGCACCGACGTCGTGCATCCCCTGGCAATTTCTGTTTTTTCCCCAAACCCGGGGGCCTTCCCCCCCCCCCCCGGGGGGGGCTGCCACCTGTGGAGGGGGTCGGGTTTACCGGGGGCGTGGTCGGCGGGGTCGGGGGGGGGGGGGGGGGGGGGGGGGGGGGGGGGGGGGGGGGGGGGGGGGGGGGGGGGGGGGGGGGGGGGGGGGGGGGGGGGGGGGGGGGGGGGGGGGGCCGGCAACTCAGAAAACAGTCCTCCGCTGTTTGTTTTTTTTTTTTGACTTTACGGTGTACTGCGCTTGCTGAGTACTGCCCAAATCCACTGAGAAACTTCGGTTTCGGGGTGGGGGGGTGAGGGGGGGTTGGGGGGGAGATGAAACAAATTCCTCTTTATCATTTCTTTCAAAACCCCTGGGGGCTATTTGAGAGGCCCTTATACATAATGAGTACGGGCTACCTCACGGTGAACGAGATAATGCTCATAACAGAGTCATGGCACGCCAAGTATATATGTTGTTGATCCACATTAAGGTCCGCGTTTCAGGAGTCATTGGACCAACGACAAAGGCGAGTTTCTGGGCAGTAGAAGGCCAACTCACCACGTGCTTTCCAGGGCTTCCCTCCACTACTCACCAAATGTACAAAACTACAACGAATCATCTGCTAAAACATGCAATCATACGCCTCCGTATGTTTCATCTTTTGTGCAAGTGGTGACGAGTGGAGCAAGGCCCTTAGGGCCACTGCTGGTAGGAAAAGGAAACAATTTCCCAAAAAAAAAAGAAAAGGAAACAAAAGAAAGAGAGGAATGAATCTTCTGCAAGAACATGGAACCATACGTCGCCATATGTTTTGTCTTTTGTGCAAGTGGTGAGGAGCACTTAGGGCCACTGCTGGTAGGAAAAGGAAACAATTTCCCANACATGGAACCATACGTCGCCATATGTTTTGTCTTTTGTGCAAGTGGTGAGGAGCACTTAGGGCCACTGCTGGTAGGAAAAGGAAACAATTTCCCAGAAAAAGAAAAAAAAAAAGGAAACAAAAGAAAGAAAAGAATGAATCTTCTGCTATAACATGGACTCATACGCTGCCATGTGTTTTGTCTTTTGTGCAAGTAGTGACAGGTGGAGCAAGGCCCTTAGGGCCACTGCTCGTAGAAAACGAAACAAAAGAAAGTGGAGCTACGGTAGTAAGTAATTGTAACGTGTAGCCCATAACTGCTGGAAAGCAGACCTGACTTCGGATCCATAACATATATTGCTGGCCTGCTCCACTCTCATGTGAAATTTGCTGAACGTCTCTTGGGAACTTTGGACCTTCGCAGATGCACTGGGGTCCTTCGCGAAGAGGACAATTCAACAAGGAATTCGTATGCTCAATTTTTTTGGTGACATTATTAGGCGTTCTGGACCCCAAAAAAAAAAAAAAAAAAGCAGGGTGTTGGTGATATTATTAGGGGTTCTGGACCCCAAAACAAAAAAAAAAGTTGGCGGGGTTCGGGCGTCGGGGGTCGGAGGTCGGGGGTCGGAGGTCGGGGGTCGTCGGGGGTCGCCAGGGGTCGGGAGGCTGCGGGGACCGGGGGTGCGGGGCCCGGGTGCCGGGGCTGGGAAGGTGCGGGGACCGGGGGTCCGGGGCCAGGGTCGGCAGGGGTCCCGGGGCCGGGGCCCGGGTGCTGAGTGCCGGGGCCGAGGTCCCGCTGGATTGCCGGGGGTCAGGCGGGTGCGGGGGTCTTCAGCGGGGTGCGGGGGTCAGCGCCCCCGCGGGAGGGGGTCCGGGGGTGAAATCCCGGCCCCGGCTTTGCCCCCGGGTGACAACCCTGGTGAGGAGGACACCCGTGCGCACCGCTCCTCCATTTCCTCGGGCATACATCGACAGCTGACAGCAACACGTCTGTCGCGAGTGTTGTGCAGTAGGCCCTCACTGACCACCATTGTTATCACCTAGTACGGGGACGGCCCATCCGTACGGGACCGTACGGGTGGGCCTTCAGCGTGCATACAGCCCATACATACGGACTTTGGGCCCTCCGTACGGGGCCTTCCTGGGGGGTGTTGAAGGGGTGGATGGGCTGGGGGGGGGATCAAATGTCGGGGGGTACCACCGCATTCAAAAAAAAAAGAAAGTTAAACTTTCTTTTTTTTTTAATCCTGGGTGTAAAAAAAAACAAAAAGATAGATTGATTGATCAATTGGTTGATTGATTGATTGATGGATTGATTGACAGATTGGTTGATTGATTGATTGATTGATTGATTGATTGAATTTGATTGGTTGGTTGATTGATTGATTGATTGATTGATCGATTGATTGGTTGATTGTTGTATTGATTGATTGATATGTTGTAAGGGGGTCGCCTCCCCCCCGCAAATACACACACACACATACACACACACAAATACACACACACACACACACACACAAACGCGCGCGGCCTTTTTTTTTCCTTCTTTTGATTGATTAATTGATATGAAGTGGGGGGGTCGGCAGGTCGCCTCCACCCCGCGAGTACACACACACACACACACACACACACACACACACACACACACAGACACACACACACCGTCACGACCGCAGGCCATTTTACCGCCGTCACGACCGCGGGCCATTTTACCGCCCGTGGTCGGGATCGAGACTGCAGCGGCCGACCGCCCGCGGCCGAGTGCGGGCATGTCACCCCGATCAATTTTTCGGGGCAAAAAACTAGGCCAATATATATATATATATATGGGCGTGTACATAAGAAAAAGCTCTACACGCCTA